GCTCCGCGGTGCACGGGGGACGTGGGGGGCCGGGGCGCGTGGCTCCGCGGTGCGCGGGGGGCGTGGGGGTCCCGGCGCGCGGATCCGCGGTGCTTGGGGTCGTGGGGGGTCCAGGGTGCGCTGCGCGTTAGAGCTGGGCGGCGTCCGGGCTGCAGACGTAGAGCGCTAGGCACCTCGCTTTGTGAATGGGCCCTGGGGTAAGGTTTTGCTGTCCGGGACCCGATGTGGGGAGCTGCCCTGGAGGCCCTGGAGCCCCGGAATAGCTGCTGCAGCCGCGGGGCTCTTTGGGGCCAGGGCACCGGGGGCTGACGATGTGCGCGCCCTCCCACGTGTTCACATCTGCAAACCACCCCAACCTGGCCCCCAGACTCCTTCCTCTGATTTTTGGAAAGAACTACAGCTGGCGCTGCCGCGGAAGGTGCACTACAGGCCAGCGGAAGGAGACCCTCAGACGCAGCTGCAGGACGACAAGGACCCCATGCTGATTCTTCAAGGCCGAGTCCCGGAGGCCCGGGCCCTGGAAGAGGGCGACCTGGGTATGCCCATCCAGCCCCACTCTGGACCGGAGAAGCTCAGCCCAGGGCGTAGCGGGGGCAGGCACAGGGCAGACGGCCTGGAGGGGCCCCGGTGTTGAGGACTCTTCCTGGCACCGATGGCCCCTGCACAGCCTCTCTGCGCGGGGGTGCTCGGCCCTGGGCCTGCCTGGGAATATCCTGGACCTCACCGGCCCCCACTGCAGGGGCTGAGCTGGGACAGCCCCTAAGTGTGTCTGCGCCAAGGCTGTGGGTGGTCACCTCAGGCGCCTCGGTCTCCCCTCCCCAGGTATCCCGAGGCCTGTCTTTGGAGAGCCATCAGCTCCACCGAGCACGGGCGGGGTCTCGCTGGGAGAGGGCCGGGGCAGCGAAGTAGACGTCTCGGACCTCGGCTCGAGAAACTACAGTGCCCGCACAGACTTCTACTGCCTGGTGTCAGAAGATGATATGTAGCCCCCACTCAGAATGGAGGATGATAAGGACATCAGGTGCCAGGGCAGGGGGTCGTTCCTCTGCTTAGCAAGACCACAACCCCTGTCTGCAGCCCTGGGACCCCCAGGGCAAGGCTGTGGCCCCAGGGCCCCTCCCAGTGCCAGAAAATAAAGTCCTTTTGGATTCTGCCTGGGCCTCACTCTCCTTCCCCGCAGCAGCAGGAGATTTCGGTTTGGCTTCCCTCTGGGGCTCTCTTGGCCCTCCGCCCCTCCCTCCCTCCTCACCCCCTAAATCACCAAATCTGCCCCCTCCCCATCCCCCTTCCTAAGCTCGGGCATGTCCCTTGCTTATAGTAGCCTCCCTGCCTGGTCCCTGGTTGGGGATGTGACTGTCCCTAACCTTTCCCAATCCAGGCAGACCCTCGATGGGCAGGCCCCTGGAGACCTCAAGTTCTGAAGTCACAGAAGCTTTCTGTTTTAAGAATATCAACAGTAGGCTGGTGTGATGGCTCACGCCTGTAATCCCAGTACTTTGGGAGGCCAAGACGGGCGAATTACGAGGTCGGGAGTTCAAGACCAGCCTCGCCAACATAGTGAAACCCCATCTCTACTAAAAATACAAAAAATTAGCCAGGTGTGGTGGTGTGTGCCTGTAATCTCAGCTACTTGGGAGGCAGAGGCAGGAGAACTGGATGAACCTGTGAGGCAAAGGTTGTAGTGAGCCAAGATTGCAGCATTGCACTCCAGCCCACACGACAGTGCAATACTTCGTCTCAAAAAAAAAAAAATAATAATCCACAGTAACTTCACAACTGGACGGCCTGGCTCTGGGTGAGATGAATGGGGTCCAGAGCCTGCTGGACCCCAAACCTCAGGCAGCCAGTGTGCGAGCCCCTGCTCCTGGCAACTCCAGGCCCAGGGTGGGTGGAGAGGGAGTTGGGTCCATTTGCTGCATGAGTACAGCCCACGAGGCAGCCCCCCTCCCCCACTCCAGTCACCCCTCTGCTCTTGAGGCCCCCAGCTCTGCTCCATGTGTGCCTATGGTCCCCCTGTGCCCACCCTGTCCCCTCTTGGGCCTGAGGTGCCCGTTGTCCCTCTGCTGGGCTCTCCCTGTCCTGTGTCCTCTGACCTTGGGAGGCTTGTGTGTGAGCCCAAGGGGTGGGTGTCCTCAGGGGCAGGAGGGTGCCTTGAGTCCCAGGATCAGCTGCCCTGGTCACACTGCCAGCCACAGGGTCAGGCCAGCCATGGAAGGGTGCAGGGCAGTGACTGTTGATGGCCATCTTTATTCCCATTGCTGGCTGTCCCAAGATACTGCCAGGCCACAGCCAGCCCCACCTCTGTCAGTGTGACTGGGTCACCACCCCACACACCCGAGCAGCCTCAAGCCCTGCCCCACCCCCTCCCTGCGGAAGCCAAGTCCCCAGTTATAAGCCCCTGTCCCTCCTGGTGGCCCAGGACCCTCAAAGGTGCACACAGGGGTCCCAGCAAGGGGCCCCTTGGTCATCAGCCTTCTCCTCCAGGCTGGGCTGAGTCAGGCAGCCCGGAGCTGAGTCTGTCCCTCGGACGCTGGGTCACGTCACCTTCTCCTCCTGCAAGAGGCTTCGCCTATGGGCCCAGGAAGTCCTCCTTCCGAAAGCCCTTCTACAGAGGAGAGAAGGCACAAGGTCATGACCTGCCTGCTGTGCGGCCCTCTGCCCTCTGTCCACCCTGCACTGTGCTGGGTGCGGCCTAGACACTTCCTCTCTGCGCTCCTGGTCTCCAGCCACCCACTGGCCTCTTCGCCGATGGCTCCACGAGGGTTCCCGTGACCCTCCCCCGCGTCCCATGCCTCGCACCCGTGTTTCTCGCCTCGGCCCGGGGAACGTACCGCCCGGAAGTCTCGGTGCAGCTTGCTGTACTGCCACAGGTTGGCCAGGAGACTAGAAGCTGCCCGGGAGGACTTCTCACTGTCAGGGCTGAGGGTGGAGGGCAGTCAGGAGGGGACACAGTCAGAAAGCAGGTGGCTGGGAGGGGCCGGAGCACCCCCTGGCTGGGCTGCCGCAGGGCAGGGCTGGCTCCCACCTGTCCCGCTTCTTCTTGATGAAAACAAGTTTTCGGAGCCCGTCGAAGTAGAGCAGGTCCCGGGCGGCGATGGGGCTGGCCACCACCAGGTTGTTGAGCACGGCTATGATGTTGACCAGCACCTCGGCGGGCGGCGACTTCTCACCCACGCTGCCCGGCAGCTTCTCAATCAGGTGGCTCACCACCTTGGTGGCTGCGGGAGGTCGGGGTCAGTCTGCACCCCCACTCCAGCCACCCGGGCACTGGGGGTCCCCTGCCTCCCCCAGGGAGCTGCGTGCCTGTCTGTCTACTCCACTGGCCCCAGTGGCCGGGAGCCCCCACGTAGCGTGTGTGGACCCGGCGGGGCGGGAACAGGACTGCTGACTCACACATCTCGTCCTTGTTCCGCGCGTTCCGAGACAGGTTTCGGATGAGGCCGGTCAGCGAGCGCAGCTGGTGGTGGTCGGCTGTGCGGACGCGGTCCAGCAGCGGGTTCAGGATCCGCTCCTGCTCCAGTGCCAGGCGGCTCAGCACCCCCGCCCACTGCGGGGAGGGAGGGAGGCCTCAGACCCTCACCTGGGGGGATCCTGACACCCCGGGGGGTGGGGGCTCTGCTTCTGCCTTTGCCCCCCAGCCGGGGCATCAGCTGCAGGCAGCTTCAGGTGCCTCCCTTCAAACTCAGGGCAGAACCTAAATCCTCCCAAGGCCCAAGGCCTGCCCACCGGTCGCTGACCTCAGATGCTCCGGGGGCCCCGGCACCCCCTGCCCCCTCCCCTCCCCATCCCTCTCCTGCCCCTCCCCCCGCAGCATGAAATCCCGGGAGCCCCTGGGTCTGCGGGTGCGCCCACCCTGCGGTCGCCCGCCGTGATGTTCTGCAGCGCCCCCGCGGCCGCCTCCGTAGTGTGCCGGTTGAGCTCGCAGCGCTGCAGCAGCCGGTTGTACAGACCCACGATCTGGGGGCTCCACAGCCACTCCAGGCCCTTGGGGTCCTTGGACACTTCCGCGAAGGTGAGCGCGTCGGCGGTGAGAGGCAGCTGCGCGGGGCGGGGCCGGGGTCAGCGGGCCCGGGGCGGGACCCATTCCCCACGCCCCGCCCGGGCCGGTGCCCGACCACCCCCCCAAGCCCCGCCCGGGCCGGTGCCCGCCCACCTCCCATGCCCCGCCCAGGCCGGTGCCCGCCCACCCCCCCAAGCCCCGCCCGGGCCGGTGCCCACCCCTCCCCACGCCCCTCCCAGGCCGCTGCCCACCTCGCGCAGCCGCCGGCCCTGCGGCGTGAAGCAGCCCACCATCTCGCCCGGCGGCGCCCCGGCCAGGTCCCTGCGGCCGCGGCCCTCCAGCCGCTGCAGCGCAGACGGCGGCATCTCGTCATACAGGCGGTAGGAAAGGTTCCGCAGCACGCACACCGCGTTCTCCACGCTCTGCGGGCAGGGGCGCGGGTCGGGGCGCGGGCAGGGGCGCGGGTCGGGGTGCGGGCAGGGGCGCGGGTCGGGGCGCGGGGCAGGGGCGCGGGTCGGGGCGCGGCGCCGAGGGCACGGGACCCCCTCACAGCGCAGCCCTCACCTTGTCCTCGCACTTGCCCACATCCAAGGCGTGGTTGATGTAGGTGACCAGGGCGTCCACCAGCCCGTGGCACTCCCGCATTTTCTGGCGAGTGGCCTGAGAGGCTGAGCTGAGGTTCCTGGAGACGGAGGCAGATCAGAGCCCCCCAGGAACCCCCAGGCCCAGGCCCTGAGCACGATGCCATGCCACGCTGGGTCCCGCTGGGCCCCGCTGGCCCCACCCCCAGTGCGCCCGCGCAGTGTGTGGGGCTGTGGGCGCCGGGCCAGGAGGGTCCCTGACAACACGCGTGCCTGCGGCCCCCACCCCTCCGCCGAGGCTGGCGCACCTGAGGAAGCCGGTGGCGTTGTAGAAGATCTCCGCCTCTGAGGCATTCTGCTGGATCAGGGGTGGACCCCCAGACCCCGACAGGGGGCTCAGCACCAGGTCGGTGAGCTGTTCCAGAGTGTCTCTGGCCAGGCGGTCCTTCAGGTGGTCGCTGGATGAAAGGTTCCACAGGATTCCTGGGCGAGGGGGGCTGCCGTGAGCTTCAGCCCTCCAACCCCCGGGCGTTTCTGGGGAAGGTGTGAGGATGTCCTGCCTCTTCCCAGGCTGGCCCTGTGCTCTGCTCATTCACGAGCCCCGCTGGGGAGACCCTGGGGTGGCATCTGGGGTGACAGAGCTCGGACCAAGCAAGAGGGGACAAGCTGGTTGGGGTGTAAGCAGGCTGGGGGTGGAGGCAACTACCAGGAGACACAGCCGCAGAACAGGGTGGCCAGGGGTCCAGGAAAGAGGCAGGAGTGGAGGCCAAGTAGAAACAGCCAGCAAAGGGGCCGAACAGCAGGACGGAGGGGAGCCGTACGGGGCGGAGGGGTCGCCACAGAGGACAAAGGACAGTCGGAGAAGGGAGGGGGTCAGGCGGAGGAGGGGACCGGCGGAGGAGGGGTCGGGGAGGAGAGGTCAGGCAGAGGAGGGGTCAAGGGGAGGAGGGGACCGGTGGAGGAGGGGTCAGGCGGAGGAGGGAGAACAGGTGGGGGGACACAGTGAGGACAGGAGGCATGGGGTCAGGCAGAGGGTGTAGGTGGAGGAGGGAGGACAGATGGAGGGGCAGGCGGGGGCGGGGCAGGCGGGGGCGGGGCAGGCGGAGGAGGGAGGACAGATGGAGGGGCAGGCGGAGGAGGGGCAGGCGGAGGAGGGGCAGGCGGAGGAGGGGCAGGCGGGGGCGGGGCAGGCGGAGGCGGGGCCGCGCAGCACCCGTGACGTTCTTGCGAAGCTCATCGTCCTGCTCCCGCAGCGTCCGCAGCAGCTCGAAGATCCCGTTCTCCTCCACCAGCGCCAGCTTGTTGTCCGCGTTGTCGTAGATGAGGTTGCGCATGGCGCCTGTGGCGTGGCGCTGCACTTCCTGGTTGGCGTGGTTAAAGAGCTTCACCAGCCTCGGCACAGCCTGAAGGCTGCGGGCCTGTGGGCACAGCATGTGGGGTGAACAGACTTCGCGCATGTGTGCAGATATGTCCAGGTGTATAGATGTGGATGTGCAGGTGATGCAGGTGTGTACGGAGGTGGAGAGGTGATGAGGTGTATGCAGGGGATGGAGGGGATGCAGGTGTGTACAG